CACACACACACACACACACACACGCACGCGCGCACACACACACACACACACACACACACACACACACACACACATACACACACACCAGCGCGCGTACACTCTTATATGAAGCGTATGTAGCACGCACACAGTGTGTTAGCAAGTATCAACGAAGTAACTTACAATCGGTTTACACGCCCTACTGGCTACTGTGTCTACTGTCATTCGATGATCAAATATAAGATAAAAAAAACCTGCGCTCTGTGTGCCACCGCTCGCTGCTGCACCGTCCGTTAGCTTTTACTAAGTCGGGCATGTCACCCTACTATAAGAACTGGTATTGTATGGCAACTCCCATAAAGACGAAGTATGGCTGACTAGAAAGTTGGATTTTTACACACATCCGGAGTTGCATACCCCCGCTTGAAATCTAGATGTTATTGTTATAACATTGTTGTCACGTTGAATTATATAATATGATAAGAACAAAAACACTACTAAAGTCAACACTCATAGACGAGCAATATTATAGTGAAGGCAGTCCCTCACGGCAGTAGTACTAGCGTGATACAGCGTGGCATACCACAACACTAACCGTGTATACTGTGTAAAAACATATCAATCAACACTAGAGCTTTTAAACCGCTCTCTGGTTCACTGTGTTGCCTGCCGCTCAGGTCCTGGCGTTGATGGACTGTTTATACTTCCAGCTAATGACATAGTCACATACGTGCGCCACACAACTCACAAAGCCCGTGCGGCGCCGACCGCAGTGCTATACAGCCTATCTTGAGCCTATAGTTCTAGAGCTACGATTGATGCACATGAGAATCAGTGCCAATGGATTACTTATTAGCAATACTCTTATACGGTTCTACTACTAGCTAAAATAAATCAGTAGCCTCTACGGCATGAGATAATAACTTACCCTCGACGATTCCTGACAGAATGGCGCGTAAACGTTAAATTTCAGGGAGAAGTCGGAAAAGTAAACATTGCACATTGTTAGGCATAGCTCCCTGAGACTTGAAATGTTTACATTCGCGACGCAGTGACCTCCGTGCTGGCATCTATCGTAGAACAGCCGTAACTCTGGCCGTAAAAACACCAAGATAATGACCCAACAGATGGCAGCACTATCCAGTGTTGTTATACAGCAAGACCTTGGTTGTTTACATCGTGCGAGATTAAAGGAGTTAGAAGATGAATAAAGTAGAAAACGACCCTTCCTGACTAATTAATATTTAAAATACTACTGTTCTAGCGAACACGGAGATTTGTGATCATGAATGCTCGCTCTCAGATATTTGAGCTGTCTGTGGAAGGCCGTCAGATTGAAGAGACCATCGCCAGTATATTTCACACATTGCTATTTCACAGGTTGGTAGTGGTACTGTATCAGTGTATGTTATTGTTATTGTTGTCGTCTTCTCTGAGCATTCTAAGTCAAGTATACCCTCATTATATTGTCACACATTGGCGCTTCATACATTGTAATTCAGCTGTAAATGTGCATAGAGCATAGCATTCAGAAAAAAGTGTTGGTCTTACATCGAGTGTGAACGTGATCAAGAGAAATCGTCAAAAAAGAGTCGGTTTTCGTAATGTATTTTTTTCTGTTTCAGAACCTTAGGAAAGTTCCATTACAAGCAGGAAGGTAGCTATTCAGTGGGGACAGTCGGCATGGAGGATGTGGACTGTGACTTCATCGATCTAACGTACATGCGAGTCGCATCTGACGAGCTGGATAAAGAGCTGAAGAGAGAGATTGCATCATTTCAGGTTGTTGTTATTGTTGTTGTTGTTGTTGTTGTTGCTTGTTTTGCGCATTGCCTTGTTAAAGTACCAAATCTTGGGGCTTAGTTTTCGGCAGAAAATGCTACACTGCTCCATCTGGAGAGTAAATCTGCAATAATTACCCCTGATTATATATGAGAATCTGCCTAATTCATATTATCACATTTTCTCTCTACAATATCTTAACTTCACTATCTTTTCTTCACCGTGTCATTACCTTGTTGATCGTTTGAGTCATGTTGAGCGTGTGTTTAATGACTGTCGTGCGACTCCGCCCCCTCCACACAGGCGCTGCTGCGGGCGTCGGACGGGCCGCGGTCAGGTCAGATCACGCTCGAGTTCTATCAGAAGAAGCGAACGCGCTGGCCATTCTCTACTGAGAGCATCCCGTGGGAGGTGTGGACTGTGAGGCTAAACGTGATGAGCCTAGCCAACGAGCTAGAGAGACAGGTGAGAGAGAGGGGAAGGGGGAAGGAGGGAGGGGGAGAGTTAGAGAGAGAGAGAGATAGAGAGAGAGGGAGACAGAAAGAGAGATAGAGGCAGAGAGAGAGAGAGAGAGAGGGAGAGATAAAGAGAGAAAGAGGGGAGAATGAGTCTGTATCAATATTGTAGACTGACGCCGTGTCCTATTGGCATCATTAACCAACGCCAAATCTCCTCGGTATCGTAGACTGACACCGCGTCCCCTCCATGTCGGCAGGTGTTCCGCGAGCAGGTGGGCGAGGCGATAGCTGAGAAGATCATGTACATCTGTGAGTCGATGAACAAGCATGAATATACGCCGAAGATGCCCAACCAATCGGAGCTGGAGTCTGTGTTCGACGTGCGTCTGCCTGACGTCCAGCCATACCTGTTCAAGATCACGTACCAGACAACCGCGCTGCCAAACCCCGCCCTCGCATCCACCATGAAGAAGTTCCTCAAGGACACGCTTGCGTTCTGAAGGTCGTGGGGCGGTGTTCCTCAAGGACATGCTCGCGTTCTGAAGGTCGCAGGAAACGCGTGGCTGCGGCTTTGCGGAATGCAGTGCCGCTGTCTCCGTGGCGACAGAAGGTTGTGGTGCGCTAGCAGCATCGTGGCGTCGCCATTGTTGCTCGTGTTTCATGCTGTGTAGCACAAGTTACAAGCCCAGCGGCCGAGTTGTTGTGACTGAGAGAGTTTCTGCACGATGTATATAGATGTAAATAATAATGCGTCGTTAGCATTGGTGAGCGGGTGGTATGTACATGTTGATTATCGCCCGTACGTGGGTAGCACGCGGCTGGTATGTACATGTTGATTATCGCCCGTACGTAGGTAGCACGCGGGTGCATTTTTTATTGTCACTATCACAGTGATGTTGGTTCCTCGTCAAAGCAAACCGGCTGTTAGGGAAATTCTGCATTCACATTACTAGTGTGCGTGCGTGCGTGTGGTGCCGTAAGGTTACAGGTGGCATCTTATTGTAACATATGCATATAGTTTGTCTAATAAGAAACAGTGCGAAGTTTTGCATCTACCATTTATGCGTTTTCACGACCAGGTGCGGCTTGGCATATAAATAAAAAATTTATTAAATTCTATAATATAATAGTAGTGAGTCTGTTAAAACCTACCTGCATGTAAATTATTTTGATACAGAAATAATGACAGTTATGCCGAATTTTCTTAAAAGTAGGGTTCTAAAAAGCGTGTAACATGTGTCTGAATGGCAAATAAGGGTGAAAAATATGAGCGTTGTTTACGCATGCTGGTGGTATTTATGTATCATTTATTACTCATGACATAATAATGCTACACATCTACACACGCTCAGCAGACACAACCGAACTTCATACTGTTAATTAATAATGTTAGCAATTAATTACTGTTTGCCAAGTTGCTGCCACATGCGTTTACCGACCAGAGTCGTGTGCCATAAACGTTCTGCCTTCTATATATTGCTACTACATGACCGGGCCATTATTTCGGGGTGACTTTGCCAACCCAAGCAGCTTCAGCTGCTTCTGATTATTATGGGATGGCACGTTGTGCCTCTTCAATGTCTCCTTTACTAAGCAGGAGTAACTCTACATGAACTGTTGGACTAGTTCCACATCAATAAAACAACAAGTCTTGACCGACTCGCTTCGAATGTTTAAACGCAACAGGAGTAAACGATAAAGATGCGAAAGTTACGTTCGTAAATTAATGCTCATTGCTTTCTATCCTGCGACCCTCTCCTCACACTTTTACACAGTAGTGGTGATGATAACGTCACAAAACTAGTGATAGACTACAACAGGTATGCGCCGACAAACTGACTGATACTATGACTGTGGGCAGTATACACATGATGTCACACACGGGACAGCAAGACATACACACACACACACACACACAAGCAATTACAAACGCTCGCAACAACAATAAATAAATATAATCTGACGTAGAAACCAACTAACGAGGCAACTCGTTGCTGAACCTACAACACGCTAATCACTACTACACTCACACCTACATAGTTCATTCGTAATGTGATCAACTAGATAACAAATAAATCTATTATTCTCGCCACGACACGTAATAACGCTGCAAATAAATCACTACAACAGACGAGCAAAGTTCATCGTAAACTCGCAACATGAAATTTGTAAACAACGTAAAAAACTTGCAATCGTTGCTAAAGCGGGCAGCACACCATTTGATGTGCTCGTACAAGCAATTTTCGTGGTCGCCACAAAAATGGCCAAGTGTGCGGGGGCCGGCAACGGAAATTTAGTGGTGACCACGAGTTGCCGAGAATCAAACCGGTTTGATTTCTCACCACAAAAATTGCTCGTGGTGGCAACTTGTGGTGAAGTGTGCTGTGACGCGGCAACGGCTACAAAAATTGCCGACCACGAAAATTGCCTGTACGAGCAACGAAAATGGTGAAGTGTGCTGCTAGCTTAAGTCGATCGTCCAGCACCAGATTCCCACACAGTTAATCGATCCGTCCGTCTGACACAATTAAAAGGCAGCTCTGGCCAATAATTGTTGGATAGGACGTTCTAAAAGACGATGCTAAACTACTGGGTGTCACAGTCGACACATTGGTGTCTTGCACTGGTGGATGGATCGATTGCTAACTACCAGTAGGAGAGAAATACCAGGGGACAAGCACATATTACACCAAGTAAGCAACACCAGTGCAGAGCAATTGCTTCACAATCGTAGGGTTAGTTTCACGTAATGGCACAGCATGACTCATCCACTCAGCGAAGTGGAAATGTAGAAACAACGTACACCTACATGGACAGCTGATATCCTGCCATCTGTCACCGAGGGTGGCTACTAGGTATGCAAAACGTAACTCATAATTTACACACAATTACCTAAAGTAAAATTCCCTAGCAGAAGAATACATTTCATTCCTGAACATCCGCTCTCAAATGACTCTTAAAATTTCCTCTGTCACCACAACGGAGTTCCTAGACATCTCAAATGGAAAATGGCCCCCATGGTGTGTGTGTGTGTGCGTGCGCGTGTGTGTGTGTATGTGTGCGTGTGTGTGTGTGTGCGTGCGACTGAGCGTATGCGCGTGCGTGTGTGTGTGTGTGTGTGCGTGCGCGTGTGTGTGCGCGTGTGTGTGTGTGCGTGCGACTGAGTGTATGCGCATGCGTGTGTGTGCATGTATGTGTGTATGCAGGCGATGGCAGCCGCTTCGTGTCACTCCTCGTGAATGAGATAGGATCGAATGAACAGCTCCAGCTCATTGTCTATCCAGCCTGCCTTGTTTCTGCAGCAAACAACAATGCGCGAGGCGTTATTTACCCTCCATTACAGCCAAACATGCATATAAGGGTCAATCAAAAGAAACCAATGAAGTATCCTTCATAGACACCTGTCCTTTCTACAGAGGTAGTTTCACTGTATAACATCCACTCAACAAAAATTCCAAAAAGTGTCCTGGAGTATATCCAGGAGTTGGTTCTATAGAGATGTCCTTTATATACAGGTGTCTGTTCTATAGAGGTGTCCTTTATATACAGGTGTC